CAAATAAGAGCAAGAACTGTCCGCTCTGCTGGTATTATCATCTAGTCAAGTGTCACAATGCAGACAGAAAAAGCAGAAGGATGATAAGCCGCCACCCTGTCCAACAAAGTGTTCGCCGTGTGCGTCTAGGTATAGCGAAAGAACTACACTGCCACCCGCTTGGCGCGATTACACTAGACACGGAAGGTGATAACGAATGGACTCGACGACTCATGGGCAAGCGGATTTGGTCGACATGCAGCTTATGCGACAGTCAATCGCGGTATGCCGGTAATCTTAACGGTTAATTGATGTGTATTCCAAGTTCGCGTGGGGGTACATCTTAACGGTAATTGATGTGTATTCCAAGTTCGCGTGGGCCGAACCCCTCAAAAAGAAGACCGGTGATGAAGTTGTGAAAGGCTTTGAGCGCATCTTAACATCCAACGACGGTCGGCAACCGACCCTCTTACAAACGGATGATGGTACAGAATTTTACAATAGCACTTTCAAGAAATGGTTGCGCGCAAAATCTATTCACCATTATTCCACCTATTCTAACTTGAAGGCGGCTGTCGTCGAGCGTTTCAATCGGACACTGAAAGAGCGCATGTGGCGGCGCTTCTCCGCCGATGGATCCTCATGCTCCCGGGCCTGCTTCACGATTACAAGAACACACTGCATAGAACAACGGGTATGAAACCGAAAGACGTAAAGAACAACAAGTTACTGCGCACTGTCTACGCCAAAGTAAAGACGGTCGACATGCATCAATTGACGGGTCGCTTCCGTGTTGGGCACATTGTTCGTGTGAGCACGCACAAGAGCTCACCGTTTCGGAAAGGTTATGAAGCGCGCTGGGGTACTGAACTCTTTAAAATTGTGCGCGTGCATCTTTCCAATCCCGTCACATATTCACTCGAAGACCTCATACAAGGTGAAGCAATCAAGGGGCGATTCTACGCCAGAAGAATTGCAACGTACACGCTACCCTAACCATTATTTAGTGGAGCGTGTTATACGCAAAAAGGGCCAACAATGTCTCGTGAAATGGCTTGGTTTCGACACTCGCCACAACTCTTGGGTGAATGCCCGGGATATTGAGATGTGAGTGAGAGAGAGAGAGAGTGTCGCAATCATGTTGACTCTAATAGACCGCAGTTGCCACACGTGTCAATGGGAAAAAAACCCTCAACAACGTCCGCGCAGCTGCGGTCGATTTTTTTCTCTTATCATATTGCTTCAACACTCACATTCGTTTGTAAAAAGGTTCACTTACAAGAAAAAAATTAATCCCCTCTCCCCCACCCCTTAGCAACAACGTGAATAGCTAAAGCCTTTTTTCTTTCCTGCTATAAAAGAGTAGTGGAATCGTTGGAAGTTATCAGAGAGTCGTAATCACATCATTGAGGTTGATAACTGCGTCTTTTATACATGTCTGTTGCTGATTTCGTTCAAACAGCAGTATGTTGCGCTACTTGGATACTGCTTTTACTTGGTTTAAATTTACTACTCTTGTGAGGAGATTCTTCGTTACCGAAGAAGCGAAAGAAGAAGAAGAATCAGATAATAACGAGTGGGTACCATCCCAAACCTCAATGGTTCCATGGTATTTAGACGAAGAACCGCCTTTATCACCGCCACCGCCAACCCAGCCGCCGCCGCCGCCGTCGCCTCTGTCCACACTACCTAGACGAAATGTGTACACAATACGCCGGCGACGTCATCCGTTTGGAGGGGCAGACGGTTGTTCACTTTCCACAACTGTCATTGCTGACCTTCAGGGATATTATAGAAACGGACAA